TAAAACGTGCGCGGCCAGACAGATGGTCTGGCGAGCATGCAAAACTAGCATGTCAGCAGCCTCGAGCTTGTCCTGACAAGAAGGATGGATGCGGACAGCGTGCTTCGCTGCCGCATCGGCGTGACGATTGCCGAGACGCCTCCAGCGCTCGGTAGCATCTAAGTTTGGCTCGTCGGGATCCTTGTGCGCCGCCACTTTGACACACTCCGCAGGCTGACCGCCCTGCGCGAAAATCTGCAGACATGCCCCTGAATAAGCTCTCCTGCCCGACAGCTGCTCGCTCCGAGGCCGAGACGCCAGGTTGACAACATTACAGCAATCACTGAACACAGAGACCGACGCAGAGGCGATAATTAGCCCACGTCCAGCAGCCAACTTCGGCCGACTGCGGCGTCTGCGGGCACCAAACAGGGGCCCTGAACTCACACATCGAATCTCCAGTATCGTCAACCATGACCACGCTATTCGCGGCCCTGGACAGCTCACGAATGGGATGGCGAAAACACGACCCGTCTATAAAGACGTTGCCCAGACCTCCTTTCCAGGGGGCTGGCCCGAAGGAGAGAGGATCCATTGATGGTGCCGCGCAAGATACGGACCATCCTCCGACTCAGTGAGGGGCCTGGGGTAGGTGTCGGCGGGATGGCGAAAAGCCCCTGAAGAGAAAACGAAGGCGTCCTCGACGCTGTCCTTGGCAGCCAATGCGGCCGAGGCCGCACTGTCGTCCACTGAGCTAGCGCGCAGCTCAGCGACAGGGCCGCGGGATCACCCCCACAGTCTATGAAAATCAAGATCGCGGCCCCCGCAGAAGGGGTAGCGGTCGTCCACGATGTAGCCTAAGCTGACCGCTCTCTCTCTCTCTCTCTCTCTCTCTCTCTCTCTCTCTCTCTCTCTCTCTCTCTCTCTCTCTCCAATGAAAAACGCTTCCGTGGAAAAAGCCCTGATGTGGGCCTTCTGAAGGGCCGTGTACTTTCTCGAGGTTACAGCCTCACGCAGCATATCATAACAGACCCGAGGGAGGATTCCCCGCTTTTCATTAGAGAGCCGTTCCAACATCCTGAGGTACCCGTCCTTGACCAGAATTCTAGTCAGGGCGGGGGAGAACATGCCAAGAGGTAAAATGAAACCTCGATCGCCCCTTATGGCCATGAAGTTGCCCATGCTCCAACCCAGGCGCACCAGCGACATGCGGAGGGCCGAAATCGGACCAGCGACTGAGCGCCAAGAGCAAGCCTGATTGGAGAAACCAGCAGCCCAGGCGCGACGCAACGAGGGGAGGGGCAAGCCCCGCAGAAAAGGCCCCCGTCTGGCTGAGCCACATCTTTTTCGACCACCTGAGCATGGGGGCGCAGGCCGCACGCCGGCGAGGATCCCGCTCAAGCAGAGCGAGCGTGGTCAGAGAGCGCAGCTGCGATCTAGGTCTGGCAACAGAAAAAAACCTGTCTGCGCATTGGCAGCAGTTCAAGATAGCGCACTCCTGTGACGTCGGCCCCGTACGAAACGCCCGCGATGGGGGCCCGCCGTGTACACGCGGAGCGCACGTGATGTCGAGATGATACGATTGTTTTTTTGTTGTTTTCAATCTCCTGGCAGCCCTGGAGGCCTTGGCGATGCGAAATTTAGACTTCGCCGAGCGACCGTGGACCCTGAGCGCGCGGCCAGCGGTGTAGTCGACACCTAAGTTGACCGCGCTAGACGTAAAAACATCCCCTAGAGGAGAAAGCGCCAACGAAACCTCCCCCCTCCAGGGCCTTCGAAGAAGCAACCACAGCGGTTTTGTCGAGGGCGAACGAACAACCGAAACAGTTGGACACAACACCGTGGAGCCCCTTGGCCCCTTTGATGATGGTAATGAGCACATCCGAGTGGCGCCCCGTGCAAGAGAGGCCTTGATCATCGATGTAGACACCGAGGTCTAAGCCGGGCCTCCTGGGCAGCGAATCGCAACCGTCCTGGCAATGCACTCTAATGAACGTCGTGGCCATAGAACAGTCAGCAACGACCCCTTTACGACAGGAGTACGGTCCATCGAGCCAACCACCTAAACAAAGAAAACGCCCACACCTGTGGGCATGGATGCAAAATCTGGCAATAGCCGAGGGGAAGTCGTGCTTCGCGCAACGGATGGCCAACTGATCCAGACAAATGTGTTCGTAGAACTTCCTAAGATCGAACAAAACACTGCACGAACTCTCTCCCTCGGCCCAACCAGCCTCAGCCGTAACGGACTGGCGCCAGACAACGTCGGCTGCTCCGCGAAACTGACCAGCAGCCCAGAACCTCCTGGTGTGTCTCTGTTCCCAATCCAGGGCGAGGGGCCGCCAAAGGCGGCCCCAAAATCTGAACCAGGAGCAGAGCGCTCCAATGGGCCTGTAGTCTCCAGTCGGTTTCGGGAGCAGCGCGAGCGCGGTCACCGCGATCTGCGGGGGGAGGCAGCCTACCGCTTCCATCACAAAAACAATCAAACTCAAGCACTCAAGCGCCGAATCGGCCAACAAAGAGAAATGCTTGCAATGGAAGCCGTCCGCAGCTACAGCAGAATAATATTTGTATGACTTCGATATGGCCATGATCTCGTCGGCACTGAGCCTCGGGAAGGGGCGCCCCAAGGATCCCGTCGGGGTGAGCTCCAGAGCCCTGTCCACAGATGCTACTGAACCGATCGCCTTCAGCCTTGGTCAACGACAGAGGGTCACTGACAACGCATCCAGACGCCGAGAGCGTCGAAGACGGGGTCCAGGGCTCAGGGTCTTTGATGCACTGGTGAACCCTTTTGGCACCTTGGTCAATCCCCAGATTCAGCCAAGTGGGCCAATCGGCTCTGCTGCGAGCGGCGAACTTGGCACCAGCAGCTTGAACAGCTCAGTGCGCATCAGTATATAAATCAGCGAGCGAGTCAACGCCCCCGTCCGAACAAAATAAGGCGGAGACCTCCTGAGCCACCCGACTGAAGAGGGCCTCGTACTCGCACTTAAAAGCGGCGATGTTGGGCGGCGGCTCCACCAGCAGACAGTGCATCCCCGAAGCGGTGGCAGAGTCGCCTCCTCTTCGAGCGTGAATGAAAGCGCGAAGCTGGTGCCCAAGCCACTTCACGGCACGGTGAGTGGGGAAAAGCGCTGTGCCGCCCTTAGCCAACATCGGCTTCCACACCAGCTGGGGACCAAAACCACTGATGCACAATTTTTATAAAAATGAAGGGGGGGGGGGGGGGCCGACGAGAGGGGTGATGTCCTTCCCAGCGTGGTCAGCCCATTGGCGGTGAAAAGGCCCCAAGAGGACCCTGGCCCCCTGGTAGCCCCCATCCTGGACACACGCCAAGGCTGACCCAGCTAGCGCCAGCTCCTTATCCCAACTGCTGTCTTGCGGACGAGGGCACGCCACCGCTCTACAAGGCAAAGGGGGGGGGGGGGCGCACCCTGAAAGACAAGGCCTTCAGAACCGCAAGCTGGGGGAAGAATTTAAGCTGGACGGGTCGATGGGGTGAGAGCTCCGCGCCAGGCTGCGCCTCGACAATCATCACTCCTTTGGCCAAGCCCCCCGAACACACAAAGAAATCGAATGTGGCGGGCGGGCCGCGTGGGTAATGGGCGGCCACTGACGGAACAACGAGGCAGGCCCTCAGCTCCGCCACGAAAGCCGATGATTCGAGCACCGACGGCTCGAGATTGAAATCAGCACCGACCACGCACGGCTGGCCCACATCCGATAATTGAGTGCCAAGCTTCGCTAGGGGACTAAGATTGGCATCACTGAGCCCTTCCGGGTGGTGAAGGTAAGCTGACGCCACGAGGATCGGGGGGGGTCCCAGGGAGGCGCACCGAACACGCGATGCATCGCCCAGGCGTCGCGATGGCACCCTTGCCCCGAGACACCCCACCCACGACCGAACAAAGATAGCCACGCCTCCGCTTGTGTCCTGCGCCGCCGCGGGGACTGCAGGGGCCCGCGCCGACTTCCATCCTCGGCGCAGGCACCGCGAACTGGCCTGCGCAATATCATCAAACGAAATCAATCGGTGCTCCTGAGCGATCACAACATGAGCGGGCAAACTTCCAAGAGGGTCTTCAACGTGCCCCGCGAGTTGGCATTGATGGAACGGATCGTGAGGGGCACCGAATCATCGCACTCTGAGCTAGCCGTGGTGCCTCCTACCACGGGCGCAGGCAGCGGCAGACGAACACTGCTCACGCGATGGGTGGACTCATGGTCCTTGAAACAGACGGGACTGCTCTTGGCAGACCGTGAGGCAGGCGGAGGCGCCCCGCCGCCAGCCCTTCCAAAGGCCGTACATTCGAAACCTACACCAGGCTCAACGTGGGGAGGAGAGCAGACATCCGCTGGGGCTGTCCCCTCAGCGGTGCCCTTGCAAAGTGGCTGGCCAAGGGTCGGCACAGGATACTCAACCCTTGGACAACTGAGATCCAGCTGAACGCTGGAGGAGTGCTTCTTCTGACCAGCACTCCGCGACGAGATTGAGACTCCCCTCTTGCCCCATAGGCATGCCTATGCAGCAGAGAGAGAGAGAGAGAGAGAGAGAGAGAGAAAGTAGCTCTAAATGGCCTGCAAGACCACGAGAACACACGATGAAAGCCAGCGCGCAAATCGGACCTTCCCCCCTGGAGGGCGCTCGACGAGTTGCGGGCCGAGGGGCCCCGAGCGAACCAGGAAACGAGCGAGCCCAGGGCATCAGCGCGCTCCTCCAGGGGGGGGGCTTAATCGGAAGAGTCAGAAGGAGGCGCAGCGCCTGCGCTGAGGTCAGCTCGAGCCCGAACAGAGCCTGCGTCAGGATGTCCCCCTCCGCCTCCTGCGTCGCCAGCTCCTTCGCCTGCCGATGCAGGCGCCCCAGGCTCGCCAGAGGCCTGGGCGCCCTTGCCAGCAGCGGGTGACCGCGGGGCTGCCGACTCCTTGCCGGCCTCGGGCGCGGCGGCTGACCCAGGACAAGCGCCGTGTTCGTTAGGGTCCTTTTCAGTGCGGCGACGCTTGGCCGCCAGACGAGCGACATGGGCGCGGTGAGCAGCCCTGAGCTCGTCGACCTTCTGCTTGGCTTCGGAGAACAGCGAACCCGCCATGGTGGACAAGCCCTTCTTGAGCTGCTTGACACGGGACTCGATCTCGAGGCAGTCCTCTTCGTCGAGATCGAAGTCGTCGCATTTGAACAAGTCGCAAACCTTGATGTCAAAGACCTGGGACAAGCGCTCCTGGTCCATGACGTCCTCGAGCGAGAGCTTGCAGACGGGAGACGAGCAGGCGGCAGGGCCTGCCTGCTCCTGGACCAGGCACTGGACCAGGGCCTTGTGCTCGTTCTCTGCATCGATGAGGCCCTGTCGAAGACCCACCACCATGGAACGCTGAGCCGCGAACTGAGTTTCCAACTCGTCGTGTTTGCCCACAGCGACCACCATGCGCTTCTTGATGCCTTCAACCTTCCAGTGGGCCTCGTTGAGGCGGACTTGGACCGACTTAGGAAGGGCAGCTGGTGCAGTGAGGGCTCGAGCAGCACGACGGTAACCTTCAGCTGCAAGCGCTCAAGAATCACGCTCTCGCTTTGCCGTCCCTCACGATTTACCTGGAAATCGCGCTATCGATCGCGACTTCCTCGCGATTCCTTCAAGACCCACGCCTCAGCAACCCGCCTGCTAGACCTGGTCGCCTGGGCCTGCCTTCCCGACCTGCCCGCTGTGGGTCTGCTCACCCGATCTGCCCGTCTGGTTCTACCAATTGTTTTCTGCTCCTTGCCCCGCTCCTGCTAATTTCTCTCGTGCTCAGTTATTATCCCTCCCCCTTCCACCCGTCCTCTCTTCCCTTGTTTTAGGGGCTGCACTAGCTGCACGTGGCAGGTAAGGAAGATATACCCGCAAGGGGGTACGATCGAAGACGACGAGGGCGGGCACCGAGGATTTGGAACATGCGTATTGATTGGCACAGGAGCAGATAGGAGCGAACAGTATTACTTGATTGTTGCTGATCATGTTGTTGTTTTCGTTGTTGCTGTAGTTGTCGTTGTCGTTGACGTTGAGGTTGTCGTTGTCGTTGTTGATGATGTTGTTGTTGTTATTATTGTTGTTGTTATTGTTGTTGTTTGTTGTCGTCGTCTCCCCCCGCGACCCGGTCCGCGACCCACCCGCGACCCGCCCGCGACACACCCGCGACCGACCACGCGACCCACCCGCGACCCACCGGCGACCCACCCCGCGACTCGCCCGCGACCCACCCGCGACCCATACGCGACACGGCCCACGACCCACCCGCGACCCACCCCACGACGCACCCGCGACCCACCTCACGACCCACCCACATTGCTTTAACGAAGAAGTCGGCGCCTGCGGCGGGCGCACTGCATAATTTGAAAAAGTTAGGCGCCTGCGGCGGTCTTCTTCAGAGCCTTGCAGACTGCCGACGTCCTCGCCGCCCCCTCACTCTTATCAGCAACTGCGGGGTGCTACGTAGTAGAGTAGAGTTGAATGGAGTAGAAGTAGAGTCCACCCCAGTCCAATAGAGTCCAATATACTCCAATCCAGTCTACTTCAACCCGCTCCAGTCCACTTGTCCTTCAATCTATTTGGAGCCTGGGTTGGCTGATATGTTGATGCAGTTGTTTCTTCTTCGACCCCTGGTCTCCAGGACCACCCACTTCTTGCTTCACTCCGCAACACGCAACGAATGGCCCCAGGCAAGAAGGATCCCTGGTGCGCAGCTTCAGGGAGCCCGCGGGAGCGCCAGACCCTCGCGCGCAAGCCAGTGCCAGGGGGGGCCCTCGCTGCGGGCCCGCACCACATGTCGTTCCAGCGAGCGTCCCAGACATCCGACGATGCCATTTTTTAAGGCGCGGCCCCAAGAGGCCCCGACCCCTTCCCCAAGGACAGTGTTCCGTCCCATATTCCTTCCTGGTAGCCCTGAAGCCCCAGGATGAGCCCCAGAAGCCGGAATCGAGAAGAAACGCCAGATTGAAAAATTAACATCGTCGGGCATCTGGGTAACCCATCCGCTGCGGGAGCATCAAAACAATATTGATACCGCTGCTCCCTCTTTGACTGCGTTCTGACCAGAATTCCGAGGCGAATCCAACGGTGGTGAGGGCCTGCCAAGAGGCCCCAGGCGAAAACGAAGCAAGGGTAGCGATATCGGCATCTTTCCTTTCTCTGCGAAACCCTGAGACCCGAGGTTGCGAACACAATGGCAACATCGCGGACATCACGACCAGAGCCCCCGACCACATCGTTCTGCTGCATCTTTCCAGCTGGATCGATATGTGATCTGGCCATGGTGCTCAGAACCTGGCGAAAACGCCTGGTGGGACAAGAATGCGACGCCTGGACCCCAGGGATCTGGACTGGCGGGACAAGAATGCAACGCCTGGACCCCAGGGATCTGGATAGCCCATCCCTTGCCATCGCTCGGACGTCCATTCCCCGTGCATGTTTCGGCTTCGTGCGTGTATCTTTTCGCAAGATGGTCCAGAATGCTCCTCGATGGTCCTCGCCGAGAAGAAAACGCGCACGTGCGAGCAATGCCAAGATCCATGCCGACGACCACAGGCTGAGCGGCGCCCGGAGCTCGTCGACCGCGACGTCCGGGCTCGCGTCACAAGCCGCCGCCGCGTCGGCGACGTCCGGGCTCGCGTCACAAGCCGCCGCCGCGTCGCCGCACAGTAACCCTGGAAGGTCTTTAGAATCCCCCCCGATAGAGGGTAACTAATCATTTTGTCGGCGGCCTCATTGAAGGATTGGGGTCCCACCAACAAGGTGCAACTAGTCATTTCTGTTCCGCGGCACCCGCCGCGCAACAGAGGAGGAGGAGAAGGAGGAGGAGGGAGGAGGAGGGAGGTGGAGGAGGAAGAGGAGGCTTTAGAACCAGTCCTATCCACCGCCGAGATCGAAAAAAGAAGGGGGGGACCAAAATCGGGGATGGACAGACCTCCCTTTAGCAAAACGTGGTTTAGTGAAAACGACCTGCGGCCCAAACCTGGCGGGCGCAAACCTGGAAAATAACGGCCACGGCGCCCTCTCGAGAGCCGAAAATGGACAATTCACTAATCGACGTGTCACTGTTGGGGGTTCTGTCCACCCCCGACAAAACTAAAGACCTTTAGCGGTGAGTAGTAGCACGGCCAGCGCGGCCCGGCGCCGCCAGGGCGCCATGCCGCCGGCGCGCGGCGCGCAGGCCGGCGTGCGCCGGCGCAGGCGTCAGGGCCGCGCGGCGCGGCCCAGACACCTCGAGCCCAGCTGACTGCGGAGGGGCGCCACGGGGCGAGGTGCACACACGAAGGGGCCCCGGGACACACAAATAAGTACACACACATAATAGGATCCCCCACATTTTCCCATGTTTTCTGGGTTTTTGTCTTCCCCCCCACCTCCCATGTTTTCCCCTATTTTCCTGGAAATCGACGATGAGTTGTGTCTGCGTGTTTCTTTCCCTCCTGAATACAGTCGGACTCGATTGGACAGGACACGCGATAGGACACAAGACCCTTCCGAGTCACATTGCCACAGGAATGCGGGCCTCACATCTACAGACAAGGCGGCGCGCACTCTGAGAAGCAGAAGTGCTCCTGAGAGCCCCCTACCCCCTCCTCCATACCCCCTCTGCGCGTGGCCGGCTGCCTGCGGAGGGAGGGCGCAGCCTGCCCAGAGATCCAAGGGCACGATTCTTTCAGCCCGGCGGTTCCTCCTGGATTCCGGCCTCCGCGGAGCCCATTGTCGGCCCCGGGGCATGCAGAACGGATCCGGGACGAAAAAACCAACCCGGGGGAAGGGGTCGGGACCCCTGGGGCCGCGGATTGACAAAATCAGATCGGCGGATGTCTGGGCGACTGTCTCCGACGGAGTGGCCTTTGTTCAAAACCAGCGCCTGCCGTGGATGTCATCGCCCACTGCATCAGGCTCCCAGGCCATCAAAGACGGTTGAGTGGATGAGGGCTTCGCAGAGTAGGGAAAGATGCCGATACCGCTGCCCTTTGCTTCGCTTTCGCCTGTAACCTCCTGGAAGGCCCTCGTCGTCACCGCTGGATTCGCCTTGGAAGTCTGGTCAGAACGCGCTCAGGGAGAGGTCCAGGGAGCAGCGATATCGATATTCTTTGTTGTTCCCGCAGTGGATGGGTGAAATACTAAGAAAACCGAACGGGGTCGTGCTGATTTCGACAAGCACGCGGAAGCGCGCGCGCGTGTGGCCCGCGTGGTATTGTTTCACAGGGTTGGCGGGTGCGCGATGGTTGTTGAATGACTTTTGGCATTCGCACGATTGTGGCCCGCACTTTCTCACTTCGCAGGTATGACAAACACGTTGTGTGTAATTGTTGGAGGAAGTGTACACGCAGAAAGCCTGTCAAATAGGATTGTGTGTTGGAAGCTAATTTCACATCATTTGTACTACCAGTGATGATATGATGATTTCGACATGTGCGCGCGAAGGCATTTCCATGGGACCCGCACGGCATTGTCTGATGGGGATTATTGCAAATCGAACTTGTTAGATCAACGCGTGTGTGAGTGCACCGCGTGAAATTCTTTGACTGGATGGGGGGGTCGATACTCCAGACTCCGTACTAATCGTCCCCACGGCCTGGTCATCTTGAAACCGACGTTCAGGGGGGTCCGACGTACTAGGGCGCCCGTGACCCCAAACAACGGCACACGCGGGGGGGGATATCTCAGCCTCCTGGTCGGCTGCGCTCAAACTTGACTTCTAGTGCGCGGCTTGCCGATCGATGCGTGCGATGCGACAGTGGCGGCACGCGTGCTATGCTTTCCACCCCACCCAGGGGTCTGCGCCCGGAAAAAATGGGGAGAGATGCTGCGCATGGTCAAAAACGGGGAGTTCACAGGAAGCGTTCAAACATCGGTCGCAAGCAATCACGATTTCTTGGACCACAAAATCTGTAGAAATCTTACCTCATCCTCATTCTTTTCGGTAGCGCCGAGAGCAGCAAGAATCGGGAGCGGCGCCTCTCGAGGATCGGGAGCGAGAATCTGGACATGGGGAGCGCCAAAATTAAGAATCGGGAGCGCATTAGAACAGGCGTGGGGTGAAAGCTCTTTGCCTTGATTACAGCACTATACACCCCCACCCCCGCTCGCGGCCACCGCGGGGCACTCCGAGAAGCGAGCCCCAATCCGAAGGGAGTGCGCTCGCGATCGCACTGCCCCGAAGAACCCCCGAGGGATCGAGCGCCGCCGCCTGCAAGAGCAGGAGGTGAGCTAAGTATGATAGCAGTCGCTATCCAACCCCTGGGCATCAGTAAAGTAATGATGGTGATGATGAGTATGACGATGACGGCGATGACAGCGAAGTGTAACAATACTCAGGATGATGAGGACGATAACAACGGCAAAGGTGATGACGATGGCGACGAGGACAAACTTGCGATGATGACGGCGATGGCGATGACGATGAGGAGCTCGAGGAGGAGGGGGGGCCGATCAGGGCGAGGACGAGGTGGGAGGACGAGGAGGGGGATGAGCTGCAGCAATGCATGCGGGATGCGAAAACAACTAGTAAGAGGACAGAGGGGGGAGCGAGGAAGATCAGCAGGACCAGGAGCAGGAGGAGGATACGCACGAGGACGAGGAGGACTGGGGCACGATGAACTCGCCCCCGAAGTCTCCCCTTCCTCCTCCTGCTCACCCTCCCCCATCCTCCTCATTTTTGCTCATCCTCCTACGTGGCCTCTGCACCTCCTCACTCTCCTCCTCCTCATCCTCATCATTCTCCACTCCATTCTCCTCATCTTCATCCTCCATATTCGCCCATGGCCGTCCTGGCGCTCCCCCCGCGGGGAGGGGGGTGCAAAGGGGGGGCAACGGCAACGCGGCGACGACGACGACGACGACCCTCGCGATAGCGAAGGTTTCTCAAATCTCGCATTCCCGCGAGCAGAATTCGAAGTGACGAGGTCGACGCGCGCGGCGCCGCGAGCGGGCGCGTGGGCGCACGGCGCCACGAAGCCTACCAGCTGCTCGATGTAGCTGCTCACCTCGGTGCCCATCTACTTGCCGAGTTTGCGCTTCTTCGGGCCCTGGCGGCGGCGGGGCTGGAGGGGCAGAGGAGGGAGGGAGCGGAGGAGGGAGGGGGAGGGATGGGGGTTAACTCGGGGCGAGGTGAGGGGAGGGAGGAAGACAATGACGGGGAGGGGGGGCACCGAGAGGAAGCGAGGAGGGCAGGGAGGGTGGGGGACGACAGAAACGGCGGACGACGTAGGTAGATGAGGGGGGCTCGGAGGGAAACGGGCGGATGCGACTAGGAAGCGTCGAGTGGATGGTTTAAGAGCGGGGCGGGGTACGGCGACGACGAACCGAGGGCGATGACGACCATGGGCACGGAGGCGTTGAGAACGGATGGGCAGCCACAAGACGGAGAGAACAAGAAGCGCTGGGTCCCGCGGGCAGCTCGCAGACGCGACCAACTTGCGCTCGCCCTTGTTCGGCCACATGTCGAGCTCGCGCTGGATCTTCATATCGATCTGGCGCGAGATGCCCTCCTCGATCCAGCGCTCCGACTGCTCCGCCAAGAGCTCCACCGACCCCGTCTTCACGATCCAGCTGCGGTGCCTCAGCTGGTCGGGCACCCAGTACTTCAGGATGTTCTGGATCGCGTGGCCCATGTTCGCGATCATGATGATGCGCTCGGAAGTCGAGTACTGCGACATCCCGTCCACCACGATGAGGTCGTACTGGCCGCTGCCCGCGTCGTAGACCTCACGGCTCTGCTTGTCGGGCCCGTTGGGGAACTCTGCGATGATGCTCTTCTGGACCCACGGCGCATCATTAATCCACCCCGTGGCTGGGCACACGCTGCGATCGGATTGAGTGTCGCCCCACAAAGTCACTGCTGCCCAACTCTTCAAGTCATCTTCAGTCGGCGCCACCGTGTACCCCAAGGTGTTGTTCTTGCTGCCGTCGCTGTGCATCAAGAGGCCAGTCGACTTCGAACGAACCACTGCCTGGCCAAAGTCCCAGGACTCGCAGACGCGGATGAGGCCCTGGCAGCGGTACTCCTCAAGGGCTCAAACGAATGCCGCACGACAACGGCGGGGCTCGGAGACTGCCGAGGGATCAAGACGCTGGCGCGGTCGACATCGCGCACCGCGCCGCTTCGATCCCTCGGCCGCCCCCGAACCCCCCGAGAAGGGCCTGTACGGGCACGATGCCCTTGCAAGATCCCCCTCCCCATCTACCCCGCCCTCCGCCAGCCACCACTATCCGTCCACCACCCTCCACCCCCGCCATTCACACCTACAATGCCCCCCTGCCCGCCCATCATCGCACGCCCCCTCACCTCCCCCAGCGTCGGCCGAACTGACCCCCCAAGCGAAGCGGCAAACCTGACGATGGGGTCGCTCAGCCGAGCAATCCGCATACCTCCGAAGCGGGCGATCCTCGACGTCGAAGCCCTGCGACCCCGAAGATGAGGTCATCGCACGGCGCCCGGTCGTCCGAGGTGGGGCAGGCCACAAAAGAAGACCAGGCATATATGCCTTGGGCTCAATGGACGGGCGGACCAGGCCTGACAGGGAGGGCCATCCGTGGAACGGCGGCGGCAGTAGAAGGGGGCGGGCGGCTACCTATGGGGTGGACGGGGCACGGTGGAGGGCCAGGAGAGGAGCTGCGGAACGGGGTTGGACCAAGCAAGGGGGCGGATCTTTCTTCCACGAGCGATCTACCCCGCTCCTGACTCGCCGCTGACGCTCCGCCAATCGGTCGGCTTCCCGCGGGCATGGGGCGCAGCCGCTCTCGGCGACCGCGCCTAAATCCGTTCGAGCAGAAAAACAAAAAAACTCATCCCCTCCCAGGTGCCCGTTGCTTTCGAGGCGCGGCCGAGGCCCGAGGGGGTCCAACATATGGTGTATCTCACTGGTGTGTTAGTTTATCTAATGCTTACGGGACGGGGCCAAACGCCTTTAGCTCAGGAGCCCTGGAATGGGGCAATGGGTAGGCGGGGGGCGGTGCTCCTCGAGGTACCGCGCCCAGGCCCTCTTACAAATAGCACGGATGGCCTCCAGCGAATTACCCCCGAACTGGGCCCAGGAGCAACTCCCCCTGTGGAACAGATCGGGCTGGTGAAAACACCAGGCGCCTCCCGTGTTATTACGCCACAGGTAGGTACCTGGTGGAAAAAAACTGTTTTGCCTTATCTTGCGACA